AATAGGGCCGCGAAGCGGCCCATTGACGGCGCGGAGCGCCTTCAAGGGGTTGGGCCGCGTAGCGGCCAGGGGGCGTAGCCCCCTAGTATTACCTATGGCGGGACTACAATCATAGTTTTGTTCATACTTATTGCTTAACTGCCTATGAGCAAATTATTCATATGTTTTTCATAATCCATTTGGACTTCTCCTAATTTTGGATGAAACTAGAGGAGGCATACCTTCAGCGCTCTGTGTAAACCACGTTTCTCCTAAAATATGAAATCGTAAACGCGTTACGAAACACGCGGTACAAATATTCTGGCCGGTAAGATTTTCCGGGTTCATTTGCCAGACTAGAATCCTCAGTCAACCAGCCAAGATTCTCGGGGAGCCTTTTAGACTGGACGACTAATGCGCATTGATTCGCATGTCTTCCTCGTCGCCCAGAGAAGCAATTGAATCGGTTCCTGTTAGACGGGCGTAAATCCAAAAAATCATGAGCCCTGGCTTTCGTTGATTACGTGGGACACTAGGGTTCATAAGTTTTGGGACTTACGGCCGTCTAAGAGAAATTAATTCAATTCAATGTCCCACCAAGTTGGTACGAAAAACGGATACTAAAGTACTTTTGTTAATACAACAGTGACGGTCGACTTAAGACTCGCGGTGTAGATATTAACATTTATAGCCGATGAAAAATCATGGTTTAAATACATGTTTAATTACATGAAAGTAATCATATCGCATGTTACATTACACACAAAAGTTACTAGGTTCTTGCGTTTTACCTGCACAATACATAATTGAACAACATGAAGAAATCAGGGAAAAATATCGAACAAGAGATGGAAATTGGAAGCATATCGTTTAAGCAAATACGTGACTTGAATAACGCACTCGACGAAACTCCATTAGTTTGATTCTTGCGTGATTTATTTCCTATCGGCGTTGCCTAGTGTACTTAAATTTCCCATGTTTACACCCTCGCTGTGTGTTATTTCCCCTAACTACAAGCAAATCCTTTTTTTCGGGGGTTTGGCTCAAAATAAACACATCCCCAGATCTGAGATACTAATTGACTCCCCAATTTCGGTTTCCTAAATGTTCGAGAATGTTCTAATGTTCTCGAAGTTCTATACATAAAAAACTAACATTTGCCGCAGCACTGGCGGTAAATATTATACCAGCTGGATCGATGCACTAATCAAAGTACAATTAAAACTGAAAAAAACGCAAGATAAGGCCGTAAATAGAATAGGGTTAACTGACATCTGTTATTTATTATTGAAAAATAATCTTGCTAGTAACCGATGTAAAAAATACCAATGAAAAGTAAGTTTGGCCGTCACAGCCCTATCGGCCAAGAAGCTAATAATAGAAAAAATCTACACGGTTAAAATCTTGGAGTAAAATCAGGAGTACTCCGGAGTCTAGTGACAAAAAGAGCCCAAGTGAAATTAATGCTGGGTGAAATTCACTCCTTAAGCGCGTGACACGCCGCAAAAAGAGTAGATTTCGCTCCGTAAAGGCGTCAGTTACTCCATAAGAAGCTTAAGTTTCGACTCACATTCATTTTACTTGGGTTTTTTGGACACTATATAAACTCAGGTGTGAGATATACTCTGAACACCTCGGGATTTTCAACAGGGTATACATACATCCGCTATAATAATAATTGAGGAGGGTTTTTTTCTTCTTTTTTTTGAAATTGTAAAAAATTTAAGTTAGTACGTAGTTTTCCGTCTATAAAAGGGTTTGACTGCCTCAGAATGTTCCAGAATTATGTATTCTCTTCAGGTTTCGTTCCGCGAACCGTTTGTTTCGTTATCGTCCTATTTCTGGTACTTTATGAATTATTTTCTGATGTGACAGTGAATATTTAAAAAAAACGTCTGGTCTTCTGATCAAACCGGGAACAATATGATTCCGCACTTTGTGCTACTTCATTGAATGCATACATATCGAAACAATTAGAGAGAGCCAAATCTATGGCCTTAAGTGTGAACTAGCCTGTTTCATAATGTAACTTGACAACTATGGGATACATTTGCTTCGGAGAAGGTGGCGGGGCAATAGTAGGGTGCATGGCTGAATAAATGAAAGGGTTCAGTACCCGGCTGATGTTCCGATGAGGGGGCCTAGGACCCAGGGGACAACTGCTGGAGGGAGAACAATAAGGAACTTTACCAGCAGTGTTTTGTATTCTTGATACTGTAACGACTCTATGCCTATATACTGAAAACATTGTTCCAGTGCTTCTAGTCACTTTTCTCCAGCAGAGGCAGAAGTGGATCCAGCGATTTTGCAACACTGAATTTCCTCCATTTAAACCTATATTAAATAATCGATTATTGACGGAGCCCCTGGCCTCTCTAAAAATCGATACATTTCCACAGGTGTAAATGTAGAAAAACAAGGTTGCAAATTTGCTAGATCCGCCAATGAGCAGAGAAGAATCAGCAGGCAATAGGGTTGAAATGTGTGTCCTTAAACAATCATCTATGAATACTAGCGTATTTATAACACGATAATAAAAAAAAATATAAAATGTTTTTGAATAAAGTAATATTTAAAGTATAATACAATAGAGCACAAAATCTTACACCACACGTTTAAAGGAGCAAAGTTATGCAAACTTATAACAATAATTGAATTGTATGTATAGTTGTTTCTCGTGTAGAATTTTTCGAAAGGAAACTCGAAATGGAACGTTGTAGCTGGAAAAAAGTTATTTTGAGAAACACGACAGCAAGAGACGACTGGCCCCGAATTGAAAAAATGAAGTTGCCTCCGTTATTTCGACAAATTGTACTACGAGATGTGACCGTAATAAAGCGAGGAAAACGAGAAAAATTTGGTATCAGTTCTTAAGACGCCATGTAATCGAGCCAACTCTATAGTTGATTTTGGTACTGCGTTTTCCCCTCTACGAGACAGTTTAAACTTGCTGTTTTATGAACTTCAAGCTAGCGGCTGATAAAGGAGCGCCTAATGCTCCGAAACACGTTTCAAAAAAAATGCACGCAAAAATCATTTTCAAAAAAAAAAAATTTAAAATTTCTTCGTTTCTTCGTGACTTCCATTGACTCTGATTATTGGTTTCTCGTTGCCCTTTTAATCCAGTGTGGAAATTGAAGATCCTCCATTATTTTCTCTAAAAGGACTAACTAGTGGTGAAATCTCTAACACTAAAAATATTATTAGTGATAACCATGCGTAAACAGTGCACCCGATTTTGTGACAAAAGTGAATGACCCACTTCCCTATCAGCGTTCGTACACAGGCTTGGCAGCGGGTGCCAAATTTTTAGGACTCGCTCTCGGAGGAGAGCGAGTCGCGAACACCTAAATGGAATTAGGATTCGGTATTAACAGGCGTGAAAAGGCTTCAAGGGCCTGAAAAGCTCCGCGAGTCTGCTGCGCCCGTGTTTCCCAGTCACTTAACCAGACCCCCCCCCCCCCCTTTTCCTCTTGTCCTCAGCGTACCTGCCTCTGCTCCCGGATTGTGGAATTTATCGAGAATTTCGGTGCTTTCAGAGACTTGCAAAAGTCCTCTCGGAGCTGCCGAGCTGGGTGCAAAGTTAGGATTTATTTCCAACAGCCTCACCGCTCGAACAGGAGTCGTTCAATAATGAAACGCTCTTTTTCTCTACCCCCTTTCTTCTCTCGTTGCAAACTCCGTCATTTCCCTCACGAAAGAGCGTAACTTCATTTCACGGTTGCCATACTTACCCCCGAAACTTGGAATTTTACCAGGAGATTCTTTAGCTTTTCTAACCGGAAATTTCACTGATTTTTCCTCGGATCTCATGCGAAAATCAGAACAATTTTGAACGAGAACTGCATAGGTATACTCCTGTAAAAAATTGAATTGTTTGCGTTGATTTTGCAACCTTGGAATGTAGTTATGTTCCTTTTCCAGGGAAATGACGACTGCCCGCAACTTGCAGGACTATTCTTAACCAGCGTATAGTGTTGGGAAATAGCCTCTTCCTCTTAAATGTTCATTTTGATTATTCGGGTCGAAAAGGTGGCCTCAAATTTCCCTGAATTTTTTGCGTTTTCAAATAAGCGTAATCCATCGCAAAACTAGGGCCGAGTTCTCCTCCTGACTTAACGCCCCATAAAACAGCATGATAATAATCAAAATAACAAAATAATAAAAACTGTATAATTATTATTTTTCCTATCTAATAATACCATTTTGAAAACAAATAAGTCTGAAAAAAGTATATATTGTAGTAAGTAAGTATATAATAATGTTAAAAACATTTTAGGGAGCCGGTGGTTCTCTAAGTCTTCTTATCTGTTCCAACTCCTTATGGGGCACATCTTTCTATCATTTTTCGCTGTGCGGCTATCGAAATTATGAATCAATAGTAACCTTAGAAGTTGAATTTTCTGTTTGTGTAACTCATCCTTCCATCTCCCGACGCGTATCAGAGAGGTGAAAATATCTTAACCTTAAAAAAACTTGGCAACGTGTACTCTCTACAATTTTGAGTGGATCCAAATCATGGCAAGCTTCGTCATCAGCTTGAAAGGCCCCCTTACCCCCCTTCCTGAGAAACGAAGTGCCTTTTAACAGATTATATGGAACTGTGAACGAGGCGAGTGTGTCTTAGAAAACGAATAGCTCGAATAAATAGGCAAAAAATGTGTTAGCAAACACTTGCTACATTCGTAAAAAATCCAACCGTCCACCTCATGTTAAATGAGCGAAAAGTCCAAGATCGGTCTGAAAGGCTCTCACTTTTTATCTCGACAAAAAAATTACCCGCAGCGATGAAGTAATTGATCATATTCATACTCTCCAGAAAGTAGAAATATCGGGTCTTTAAACAGGCTAATGGTGTACGAATAACCAGGGAAAATGCACTAGCACAGTGCGATTGGAAAATTTGGAACAGTACAATCGAGGTATGAATTGTTTCCGATGTTATTTTTTGCTACATAATCACAAGAAAGTTTCCAAAAATGAGTTTAAAAAATATCTTCTTTGATTCCGTTTGTTCGCAGGACGATATTCACAACTTACCAATTAGAAGAATTAGAAAAGGCTTTCAAAGATGCTCACTATCCAGATGTATATGCTAGAGAAATGCTATCACTTAAAACGGATTTACCCGAAGATAGGATACAAGTAAGTGCCACCTCATATTTTTTCGTGTGAATATTTGTATATTAAATAATGTTGTGTTTTTTTTTCAGTTTTGTCTTGTAATGCGTTACTGCTTCGCTCGTAATTTCCTTTCTCGTAGGAATTTTTTTCTTTATTGCGTTAGTTTTTTTTTAAAAAAAAAATCGCTAGAAGGAGGCGTTCGTAATTTGTTGGATTATCCCGGTAATTAATCTCGTTATAAAAACTGGTGAGAAGATAATGGTCGAATAAACTCGCGAGCCAACGGCATGTACCTCCGACGACCGCAAAAAAAACACGGTTCATCTGTGCAAACATTCGACATGTATAGTGAAGGACCTGTTGTCAAAGTTCCGTAAATAAGTCATCTCTCCAAATACGCTCCCTGGATATGTAGATGCCGGATATATTGTTTCAACTCGGCAATGATTGGTCGAATCCTTGATGGAGATAATTAATAGTTCGGCCGTAAATTAATGCAATCCCCTCTCAAAGAGTTAATTATTAGTCACTAATTCACAATCTCTGGATAATCCATGTCGTAATTGCGTCGAAGTTGGAGATGGGTGCTGGATATTCAAAAGACAGACATCGTTGCCTGGCCTCTTTATAAGTCAGCACAGATTGTGGTAATTTGGTCGCTAGCAGTGACATACATTTTATTAATCTCATAGCGATTGATAACGACGAAAAGAAATGAACTTTGTTAAATTACAAAGCTACTGTGAGGTTCGATGTGTGTATGTGCATAGCCTAACCCAACTTCACATGACCTCACTTAATCCCAACCTCAGCTTTTCTGACCTACTGAAAGTATCCTAACCGAATCGAACCTAACCTAGCCTGACCTTACCTGGTGGGCGTTCCTCACCCTAAAGTTCGTGGGCTGTCATGTATTTTTTTAACTCTTAGAGTGAGCATGGAAGTAAGAGTCGCGTTGTGAAGGCAGTGCCGGATTTGTGAATTATTTTAACCGGCAAATGTGGATTTTTCGAGGAGATAACTTTTATGTTCCCCGGTATGTTGCTTGCTGATATACGGTGAAATTGAAAGGCGAACCTTAAGTTGACGATATCTACAATTATTTCTATGCACTTTTACCTCATGTTTTTTCGAAGAGGAAGGAACGTCACATAGGTATGCGTGTTTTGAAACATACAATTATTAGCGCATCCTGTTATGTTTGTTGCTTATCCAGCAAAATCGAAGGCGAACCTCAATTTCGTGATATCTAATGAAAAAAGGTCGAAATGATTGAGAATTGCGAAAAAAAGATCATTTGTGTGCGTTTGATAAAGTAAACTCACCTCTAGATTACGTCATATCGGCTCGAGAATGTCAAACCTCTAAAAAGGTCGAAATGGTTGAGAATTGCGAAAAAAAGATAATTTGTGTGCGTCTGATAAAATAAACTTACCTCCGTATTACGTCATATCGGCTTTAGCATCTCAAACCTCTAAAAATGTCAAAACGATTGAAAATTTTGAAAAAAAGATCATTTGTGTGCGTTTTATTAAATAAACTCACCTCTGGATTACGCCATACCGGCTTTAGCATCTTGGTGTCTTGATTGTCCCCCAAAACTCCCAAAGTAGGTAGACAGATGAGCCTTGGCTAATGATTTCCAATGGAGCGCCAGTCGTCGGGTGATTAGCCAGGCCGCAATTCCGCGGTCCGCGATGTCATGCGCGTGACGCCGCGACGCGCAGCGCGTCGATCGAAGCGTCGCGACGCCACCGTCCGCCATGCGCACTCCTCCGCTCCCCCTCCACCCACGCCACGCCGCGCGACGGGCAGGGCCCGGCTCTGATAGGCCCATTATGAGCTTATTATCCTACCCGGCGTACAGATGTCTGCGACAATTGCGGACTGCCATTATACCGGAAGTACCTTCTCATTCCACGCAGTATCAGAGGGAGATGCGTCACCTGGAATCGGAGCTACAATGTTTTAATCCTGTAGGTTAGCGAAGGTAAATCTATTCAAACTCTGTTGTTGAGATAGTGGGAGAATCAACTAGTAGAAGGACTAACTCTCCTAAAATTGGGACATGATTTTATCAACAGCGTAAGGCTCTAAAGGTTTTCTGCCTCAGTTATCTCATATTAGGTCACTTTTTATGCTGAAGAGGTAAGATTTTGGCGGAAAAGTTGCTGTTTTTAATTTTTTTTATGCAGTAGTTTCTGTAAATCGATTTTAAAATTTCGGAAGTTCAGATCTCCTATCATCCAATTACAAGACGAGGCTCTTTGCCAGTAGCCTGATAATGGTGGAAATTTCCAATTTTGGGAATCAGACATTTTCTGAAGCTAACAAGAACACTTATTAGCCCACGTTCAAATGTTGGTTTTTGAAATATATGAGCATCAAAACAGCAGCTTTTTTTATGTAACATTTTACCTAACACGACTTATCACGTCAAACACGAATGCGTAAAGAATGGTGAAGCCATGTTAATTTTTAAAGATGTTTTCACCTGACGCTAGAAGGAGAATCCCTGGTAAATACATACTAAAACGCGACCTCTACTCCAGTCTCATCAAGAATGCCTGGAAAAGTCTTAGTTCGTCTACTCTATACAGAGAATTCATACCGTGAAATACATCCCCATTAACATTAATTAACCGAGGTATGAAAAATTGAAACATTTGGTGTGTGACGTCATCCACCGCGGGAGCGACACCCTTAATTCTTCCACCTTGCTTTCATCCAAGTTTAATGATAAGCAACCAGTAAAATGAGTGTCTCTCTGACAAATGAAAGCAAGGTGTAAGAAATCACAGGTGTCACTACCGCGATGAATAACGTCATCAAATACATTTTTCTGTTGCATTTTGTTAGGATACTCGTGCAATAGCCTCTTGTCTTAGCTCAAGATATAGGCTTCGATAGGCATTGCTGCAATACGCTCAGCTCTGCGTTTGCCGACTATCCTCAGGCCTGTCAGCGGTCGGGGTCGGGCGAGGCCCGGGAGCTTTGACGCGGGAATAATAGACGCGAACGGGCGCGAGCGATAGGATCAAGGTAACTGAGGCAATCGCCTGGCGCGGCGTATCGATGGTGCTGACAAAGCCACAAAAAGCAGGCTCAGTTGGGCAAATAAAATATTTACCGCGGTTAATTCAGCCCGAAAGTGCCTCGCGCTCCGCCATCAGGTGGACGTATTCACGCTGAAAGCACCTATGTTACATGCAATCCCTATGCACATAGTTCCTTTTAGCACGAATGCGTTCAGGTGACGTCCGAATAGCCGTGATTAATTTAAAAGCATTCCGTGCCCGCGTGCGGGGGTGGCGAACTACCGAGGTCTCTGCCACCGGCTGCAGGGTGGAGGAGTCTCTTTCGGCGTAGAATGGATGATCGTCACACGGCGCCATTGTTGCCGACCTCTCGTCCGATAGAATTTTAATCTATTGGATATCCATGGCTGTGTATTTGCTCTTAAGCGTAATTAAATCTGATGGTTTCGTGGACGCTATTAGTAAGACGTCACAGGAAAACGATATACGGTAGAGTCTCGATTATCCTTGATAATAGGGACCGGAGATACCGCGGATAATCGAAAATCGCGGATAATCGAAAATCGCGGATAATCCAAATCTACGCAAGGCGGCCGGAAAAAGTCATCGAAAAGACTGTATTTGAAAGGAATAAGTAAAGACACTTATTATGCATTGGAAAATAATATAATTATTAACTAAGAATCAGTAAACGTTACCTGTTAAACAAATTCAACTGAATTTCTTGAAGAATTTTCTGAATGACCCATTGAAACTGGAAAAAAAACCACATTGGATGTGAGTCCAGACTCTTAAAAACATTGACAAGAAAAAATACTCTTGATTCAATCAAAGAGCGACGCCAAGAATGGCACAATTTGGGCCAGAAGGGATTTTTCTGAAACCGGGCCCAAACGATACCTTACGATACCCTAAAACTCTGGTTAAAATTTTAGCTTGAGTATACGCACGGTTTTTGAGAAATGAGGGGGCAAAGTTGCCAAATCGCCATCATTCTGGACAGCATTTCTACAGCAAAAAGACGAGAAAAATGGACGAAAACTTACACCTTTGATGGGTTTCGGCTGTAAATGTTCTCATTGGGCCCCCAAGCATTAAACTGTGTTCAGTTTCAAAAATTTTGGTCGCACAGTGGTCCATAATGGGGAGAAATCGTCGACAAATCAGGATTCTTGGTCAAATTTTTAGAAATGGAGGTAAAATTGTCGGTCTGCTGCTGTTTTCATGGCTAACAATGTTCTTATCGGTCATCAATGCATGAAATTGTGTTCAGCTTCACAAATTCACATCGCACAGTNTTTGGGGGCTGAAATTTTCAGGGATTACTATTGGCATATAGGCCTATCAAAATCCGAAGTTTGGTTGAAATCTGAGGGTGGGCGGATTTTGCCGTTTTTGCACAGACCTCTTTCTGAAAGTTTGCATATTTTATTGAGATAATGCTACAAAGTCTATTCTATAAAAATGTCCTATAAACAATACGGTCTGAAATGTAGTAATAATTTAAAAAATTAAAAACATGATTTTTCCGGGATCTAAAGTCTACTGGAACCAACAGTTTCACTTCATTATTAAAAAGTTTGACAGAGGATCTTAATTTGTCCACTAAATCCCCCATTTTTGACCACTGTGCGATGTGAATTTGTGAAGCTGAACACAATTTCATGCATTGATGACCGATAAGAACATTGTTAGCCATGAAAACAGCAGCAGACCGACAATTTTACCTCCATTTCTAAAAATTTGACCAAGAATCCTGATTTGTCGACGATTTCTCCCCATTATGGACCACTGTGCGGCCAAAATTTTTGAAACTGAACACAGTTTAATGCTTGGGGGCCCAATGAGAACATTTACAGCCGAAACCCATCAAAGGTGTAAGTTTTCGTCCATTTTTCTCGTCTTTTTGCTGTAGAAATGCTGTCCAGAATGATGGCGATTTGGCAACTTTGCCCCCTCATTTCTCAAAAACCGTGCGTATAC